ATCAGCATCAGCATCATCATCATCATCATCCTCATCCTCATCCTCATCCTCATCATCGTCCTCGTCATCATCATCATCCTCATCATCATCATCCTCATCATCATCATCATCATCATCATCCTCATCATCATCATCATCATCATCATGATCATCATCATCATCCTCATCATCATCATCATCATCATCATCATCATCATCATCATCATCATCATCATCATCACGCTGCCGCAGCCCCAGCACCTGTACAACCTTAGAAAGGGTGTCCACTGGGGCAGACGCGCGAGAAACGCCCGTCCACATTGCCTGCCACTGTCGCGCACCCTTCGGGGCCGAGCAGAGGAGCCACGGAGCACCTTCAAGGGAGGCCAAGCCCTGAGAATACAGGCAGCCCAACGCCACAAAACCAGAGGGAGGCGGGAAGCGCGAAGGCGCAAGAACGACCGATCGCAGCCACACTAGACGAGGCGAAAGCGAGGCAGAATAACAAGCATGCAAAAATACCGGCCTTCGTCTGAGCGTGAGTCAGCCTGTGTATGAGTAAGTCCGGGTAGGAGGAGGACATGGGGAGGAGAAGGAGCAGAAGAAGGAGGAGAAGTCGGCGGCGTCCAAGAAATAACAAGAACCCCATCTTAGGATACGGGGGAAAAATAACGGCCTCCCGGGCTGTCCGACCTTTCTGCGCGGGGCGCCCGGGCTGGAAAGGAAATCGGCACCCGGGCGCCCTCCCGTGCACCAGAGTGGCCCCCGTCGCCCGGGCGGGCGCGCGCACGGTCGACCGAGCTCGGTGAGAAGTCACACACGAAACGAAGCGGGGGGGGGGGAGGGCGAGGGGAACTAGGCGGGGGAGGGGGGGAGGGGGAGGATGAGGGGGAGGGGAACTAGGAGGGCGAGGGGAGAGGGGAGGGGAACTAGGAGGGGGGGGAGGGCGAGGGGAACTAGGAGGGGGAGGGCGAGGGAAACTAGAGGATGAGGGGCGCAGGCGCGGCCAAGAGGGCCACGCTGCCGCGCTGGAGCGCGGTGGCAACGCGTCGATGGCGGCCGACCGCTCGCGCAACGAAAGACCAGTGGCGAAGGCTTTCACCATGCCCTGGCATGCCCGCCCATGCGACCAAGGTGCGAGAGCACAAAGGGCGTGAGGCTGAGCATATGGTACTTGCGCCTCTTATTCCTCTCCTCGGCGCCTCTTCGGGACATGATGGCGCATTATGAGGCGGTCTTTTTTCCGCAGACAGACGCTCGCTTCAGAGCAAGACGTCATCATCAAATAATGTGGGTCTATGTGGGCCGCATGGGGTAATGCGAAGCTTGCCTCTGCAACCGAACTCTCATCCAGGGCTGCCACCTACAGAAGAGAAGTGCGGTGGACGCACTCCTCCGAAGGCGTCATGGTTTCCTGGTAATCGTCTGCTCCAAGCAGCCCTCTCACTGCGAGCGAAGCCAGCATGCCCAAAGTGCTTGACAAAGAAATTTAGATGCATGGTGCACTTTTGCGTTTGCCAATGGGCAACCTTGATTTGAACCTTCCCAGAATTTAGCCACTGCGGATTCTAATTGTGAACGCCTTGAGCTTAAAAACAGAGACCACCCGCGTGTTTCTCCTCCACCCACGACCCCGTGACGTTCAAGTCCTGGAAATACATGTCTGCGCATGGTCCACTCAACTGGCGCGCCTCGGTCTCTACAAGAAGCATTACGTTATCGTGCCTTCCGCGAGGTATGCTGATCAGGACGTGGTTGCCTGGCTTCATCAGGTAAAAAATCGTTGACCAAACACGTTTGCCAAGTGGGGATCGCAAGTCGACATGGAAACTCCAGGAGGAAACGTCGGATTTGGCGCCGGCCATCCCAGAGGGTACGTCGGGCTGGGCGTCGGGAACGGCGTCGGAAAAGCCGTCGGGTAGGCCGTCGGGAAGGACGTCGGGTAGGGTGTTGGATTAGGGCGTTGGGTACGGCGTAGGGTAGGGCGTCGGGTGCGGCGTCGGGCTCGGCGTCGGGCTCGGCGTCGGATAGGGCGTAGGGTAGGGGGTTGGGTAGGGCGTCGGGCTTGGCGTCGACGAGACGCCCTGGCACACCATTCCCTGAATGGAATTGCCCGTTTACCAATCGTGCCACCATCCGCGACTCAGGTACGCGATCCTTGTCTCGCTCCAGCCAGCGATCCCATCGTCCAGCGGGCCGACGTAGTTCCACGGCGTGCCGTCCCTCCACGACCAGGTGCCAGCTCCGTTTGACTCAGCGCCGCTGTACGCATTGCACCCTTGAGATTGGAGCAAACAAAAGATCACGTTGTTGTTGGCATCGTTGTGGATACAGGCGATGGACAGGCCCTGCGACTGGCAGTATGCGACCTGGCTGTCGTAATTGCGCCCAGTGCAGTCGACCGTTGAAGGGTTACAAGAAGAGTCGCGGCTTATCAGACGGTGCTCCATCGTCCCCCAGAATGCGTTCCAACTTGCGTAATGATAGCCTGAGATGGTAGTGCCACTCTGATACAAACACTCGTACTTGCCAGCCCCGTGAGTATTCAAAATGCTGAAGTGAGAAGAACCGAGGCCGGGGCACTGAGACGACACGCCGGTAAAGCGAAGGCTGTCCGCAAAGATTCAGGGCTGGGTCGCGGTGCAATCGCACGAGATTATCATATTAGTACTGCGCCACCCCCCCTGGTACCACACCTCGTACTCCCCAGCATAAGCCGCACACGGAAAAGGAGGAGGACAATAACGAGGGCGATGTGCGTGTTAGGGCAATTGTAGGTTCTTGGTGGTTTTGGGGCAGGAGAGGGCAAGGAGAGGAGCAGAGGGAGAGTGGAAGGAGGAGGGGGATGGTGCGTCCCGTGGGGGGAGGGGATGTTGAAAGGGGAGGTGTAGGCGGAGGGGAAAGAGGAGGCCATGCCTGTGCCCCTCTGCGACCAAAAATCTTATGTCGTGAAAGCTACAGGCAAAGCTCAAAGCATCGCCGCCCTCTTCCTCCATTTCCTCGCCTGTTGCTCCTACATGCGCACGCTGCCTCCCCGATACTATCCATGCCGCTGCGCTCTCGTCCACCTGCCCTTGCTTCTGCACTCGCTCCTGTTCCCCTGGATTTCAGGAGACAGCAGAGTGATACCACCACCACCACCACCACCACCGCCTCGGGAACAGACGAGGGGTCAGTGGTGGTGAGAACCTTGCGGTCGCTAGCCCAGGGCGGAGGGAGAAAAAACGACATAAGCATAAACTGTCAACGCGCCAGGGAGGGGGGCCCAGGCGCGTATCCAAGAAATCCGCGCGGAGCGCCAAAAGTGTACGTTTATGGCGTTGCTTCTTCTTCGACAAACACATCCTCCACATGTGTATGGATGCCATGACAATGGACACTCTAACAATCCTGTCATTGAGATAAAAATATGTTTAAAAATTGTCAAACATGTCCTAAAAATGTTTCACGTGCCCGCCATGGTGAAGAGGGCCAGGCATCTCCCTGGAGGGGTGAAGCGCCCAGAAGGGGATAGCGGCACACGTGTGTACAGCCAGCCTCGGGCCAGACGAACCCCCCTCAAGAACACGAGACCCTCCGCCGGCCAAAACGCACAGAGCATCCCAAGGGTCCCCTCCCCAGAATGCACAAGAGCATCCAACGAACGTTTTTGTTGCCCGTCGGCGGCGAGGCAGGGGTCGTCTGCGCTAGCGGAGAGAGCTAGAATGGGGATGCCGTTGAAGCGAGCTGCGCCACCAACATCCAACACACGCGAAGAACATCAGGGCGGCCTCCCCGAACCAACCCCGATCCCAAACCGCGGCCCTGCTGTATACAGGGGTGCCGATGGCCCCTGTCTTCGGCGAGGCTCCCCAGCGACTGCGTGCAACGGCCGTCCCTGGGCTTCTCAAGACCCTTCCGAGGGCCACATTGCCACAGGAATGTAGGAAGCATGGATAGCGAGACACAGGACACGAGGCTACCCTTGATTTGGCATGGTCGACCTACTAATCTGGGCCGACTGTACATCGTCCCAGACATCCGACGCCGTGCCTCGTGTTCGCAGCGCGGCTCCCCAGTTCTCGACGCCTTCTCTGGGACCGATGTTTCTCACCTCGGACCGTGTCTCGACGGTCTCCAGGGCCGGCGAGGGCCCCCGGAAACCGACGTTTAAAAACGAATCCTCCCCCGCCCCACCAAAAAAAAAGCCTCCAAGCAATCCAGAATCAAAACAAGAGAGACAAAACAAAACAAACGTCTTAAAATTCAAAATAATCTACCCCCCCCCCCCTCCAAAAAAACTGCCAAAACATCTGGCAGCGACCTTGCTCCACAAAGAGAGGGAGAGGGTGCCAGGGGTCGCCTCCGACCCCCTGCCCGCACCTCTCTTTCGCAGCCCCGGGCGCACGCATCCGCTGGAAGGTGTCGAAGGCGGCCTGGAGGCGCCGATCCCGCACCAGCCCCTCGATGAGCTCCTGGGTGCGCCGGCCCCCTCCCCGCGCCGCGGGGCGGCCGCGGTCGCAGCCAGATGCCGAGCACCGGGGGGCTCTGCCTTCCTCTGCGACCCAGCTCCCTCGCGATCTCATGAAGAAAACTCGCGTCTTCCCTCCCCCTCCTCCTCCTCCTCCTCCTACCTCCTCCTCCTCCTCCTCCTCTCCTCCTCCTCCTCCTCGTCCTCCTCCTCCTCCTCCTCTCCTCCTCCTCCTCCTCCTCCTCCTCCTCGTCTCCTCCTCCTCCTCCTCCTCCTCCTCCTCCTCCTCCTCCTCCTCCTCCTCCTCCTCCTCCTCCTCCTCCTCCACCGAGCCTCACTGGCCCCGCCCCTCACGGCGGGCCGTGCCGCCGCCGCACTGCGGCGTGCACACCGCCTCCCGCCGGGACGGTGGACTCTAGCCTCCAGGGCCCGTCGTCGGCCCCGGGGGCCACCAGGCACGGATCCGAGGCGGAAAAAAGCCGGCCCCGGGGAAGGGATCGGTGAAGGGGCCCTGGGACACACCAGTAAACGGACACAAATAACAGGATCCCCCATATCTCCCTACGTCTGCTGGGTTTCTGCCTTCCCCCCCGCTTCCCATCTTTTTTCCCCCCTCTCCTGGGGAATCGACGATTACCTGTGTCTGCGTTCTTTCCCTCCTGCATCGGGACCTCTGGGGCCGAGCATCGAAGAAGTCACACGCCGGCAGATGCCCAGGGAGCCCCTCGAAGGCCCGGCCGCTCGCCTCACGGCAGCACCGCGAGAAAGAGCGGGCTCGGCGCGAGGGGCCCGGAGCTGCCCGGGGAGCGCGGGGTCCGAGGGGCTCGCGCTCCAGTCGAGCCCAGGGCAGAGAAGCATCTCTGAAGAGCGCGAGACCCTCTTGCGGGCAATACTTATATCCATATCCAGAGCGTCGTGGACTTTTTGGGAAGAGGTGCCGCAACGCCGAGGCGCACTGGATATGGATAAAATCAAGCCTCTTGGGGCCAGATGTTGATCCATATCCAGTGCGTCTACGGTTTCTGGGGAAGAGAGCCCAAGAATCCAAGACGCACTGGATGTGGATATAAGTATTGCCCGCACCTCTGGCGGCCAGCAGCGACGAAGACATCCGGGCACCCTCCCCGGACCGACCTCGATCTCTATACCTCGCTCCGGCTGCACAGGTCACCCCCAGCTTCGCGCCCCCGCGCCCCGCGGTGCGCGAGGCAAACGGTCATCTGCGCGCCCTCGCGCCCTCCCCGGAGGAGGGTGGCCGCTTTGGCCCAGAGCGCGACGTGCGAAGCGCGACTGCCTTCGCGCCCCCGCGGGTGACCAATGGGGAAAGAAGGACGAGGGGGGGAAGATCCCTGATCTGATCTGTGCGGAAGCTGTCGGCGTGGAGGACTGCACCACATGCCGATCCGTGCACACCAGACTTGCGCGTCGAAGCAGCTGCTGACCAACTCTGGCTATCTGCCGCCGTCGGACGCATCGGGAGCAGCAGCAGCGAATACCCAAGAAATTGATTGGCATTCACGAGATAGACACTCGTGCGTCACGTAACGTCTCTGGTACGCAGCGTTCGTCACTCCGTTTGCCCCAGGTTTGCCGGACCCCTCCTGCGCGACCAGAACCCGATCCAGAGTTCCCTTCCCCCGCCAGCTCGCTGCTCGCTGCCGCTTCTGTCTCCCCTGACACCCACGGCCCCACAAGTCCCGACCCCTTCCCCAGTGGGTGTGGCTTCTCGTTCAGATCCAAATTTCCAGGCACTGCAGCCCGATGACGGGCCCTGGAGGCCGAAATCGAAGGAAAACACCCTGATGGAAAAGAACGATAAAAACAAGCAAGCAAACAAACAAACAAACAAACAAACAAACAAACATCACCACCACAACAACAGCAGCGCAACAACAACAACAACAACAACAACAACAACAACAACAACAACAACAACAACAACAACAACACCAGCAACAACAACAACAGCAGCAGCAACAACAACAACAGCAACAACAACAACCACAACAACCACAACCACAACCACAACCACAACAACAACAACAACAACAACAACAACAACAACAACAGCAACAGCAACAGCAACAGCAACAGCAGCAGCAGCAGCAACAGCAACAGCAACAACAACACCAACAATCGTTTTAAGACTGTTCGCTCTTATGTGCTCGAGTGTCCAATGACGCGTATTTCCCAAACCGTCGATACCCGCCCTCTTCGTCTCCGATCGAACCCCTTTTGGGGGATATACCTTTCTTCCCTGCAGGCCGGGCCCAGGCAAGCGGCGGGGCGGCGGCGGACCGTCGGCCTGGCCAGCGGCAGCGCTGATCGGCGGGGCGGCCGCGGACCGTCGACCCGACCCCAAGAGGGACGGACAGGGGACCGACCACGACGACGACGACGGCGACGACGTCGAAGACGACGGCGACGACGGCGACGACGAGCGAAAGCGAGAGCGAGAGAGAACGACAGCAGGGCCACGAAGGGCACGAAGTAGGCCACGAAGGGCGACAGCGGGGACACGAAGGGAATGCGTATGGGCCACGAAGAGTGCGAACGAGCGGGGGCCACGAAGTGCAGATAATGGGGGGCCACAGAAGGCAACTATGGGGCCACTGAGGGTAGCAATTGGGCCACGTAGGACAATGAGGGGGACACAAATGGCGACAGCGGGGCCACGAAGGGTACGCACATGGGGCCACAACGGGCGCGACTCCTGGGTGCATGGGTGTCGGGAGCGCGGCGCTTGAGCAAATTGCAGGAAATTCCAACGCAAGGCTCTTCTTCAGTAAGTTGCAAGCAAATCTTCAGCGAGAGCGCGACTCCAGAGCTCCGAGAGAGCGATTCCTGAATAAATTGTAAGGAAGTCCCCATCGAGAGCGCGATTCCTAAATAAAATGCGAGGAAGTCTCGGGCGGGAGCGGGGGTCCTGCCTAAATTGTAAGGACGTCTCAGGCGGGAGCCGTTGTTGTTGTAACCCGGGGGCCAGGGGGCCAGTTTGAGCAGGAAGACTTTCCCTGTCAAAAACCAGGGTGCGAGCGTCGAGGGGCACACTCTGATTGAGAAAAAACAGTATGCACCGGTGGGGGGGGGATCAACAACAATTATTCTTCAGGAGTGAGAATTCAACAACAACAACAACAACAACAACAACAACAACAACAACAACAACAACAACAATCATTTTACCCGAACGCGTGGTGTTCTCCCCAGTGCCAGGGTTTTCATACGACACCAGGCAATACCCCCACTTCGTGGGGGGGCATTACAAGCTCTACCAAATATCCAAACGACTCTTCGCGACCACCCAAACCCAGCTTCCCGCCCTATGACGTTGGGACACTTCACTTCGTGGCGTGCGGACGACCGTGGCTACTACACTGGCGTGGGGTACACACCCACAGAACTTGGTCACTTATTCGGGGTCGTGTGATTTTATGATGCGCGGTGCTAAAATTCTTAAGAACCCAATGGTTTTTGGAGATTTCGGCGTGCGCGCGCGAAGAAAAAACGAATGTGTCCCGCATGGTATTATTTGACAGGGATGATGGCCCTGGCAGGTGCGCAACCGTTGTCGCAGAAGTTCGAAAAAGTTGCTCGCAAAAGCCCGTTTGACAGAAATGTTTAAAAAGTGTTGGGTTTCCTACGAATCCGCAAGAGCGCGCGGGATGAGATTTTGACATTTTTTTGTTGAAAAACCATTGGTTTTTTGATGTTTTTATGTTAAAATCGCTCCGAACACTAAGCTTTTGGAAGGATTTCGTCTTGCGCGCGCGAATGTCCACTTTACCTTATTTTTTGCAAGGGATTCTTGAAATTTGATTATATTAGAACAAGAAATGTCATTTTATAGTGTTTTTTGCAAGGGAAAACGGATTACAACAAAACAACCGGATCTTGATCACCTCGAATTACCTGAGGCTTCCTCACGAAAATGATGAAAACGTGGCTGCGGCCTAGGCGCGGCGGGGGGGGCGCGCACCAGGGGGCCCAACAATAATTATTCTTTAGAATTAATAATGTTCAACAACAACAACAACGGCAACGGCAACGGCAACGGCAACAGCAACAGTAACAGCAACAGCAACAGCAACAGCAACAGCAACAACAACCACCGCCACCACAACAACAACAACAACAACAACAACAACAACAACAGCAGCAGCAGCAGCAGCAGCAGCAGCAACACCAAGAACACCAACAATAGCAACAAAAATAACTATCGTCGGAAATCTGGGTCCCTGCCTGCGCCGCCCGTCTCCTCGAAGACGAGAGGCGGCACCTCCGCCCCGCCGCCACCGCGAGCCTCCAACCGGCTCAGCAGCGCAAAGGCCGCGTCGGCGTCGCCATCGCGAGCGTGCGCACACACCTGGCCGGCCCGAAGCGTCGGAGGAGGCACGGGCGGTGCCGACCTCGACCGCTGGAGTCTGGGGAAGGCGTTCCGCCATCTTCGGCCTCAAAGGGCCCTCACCGGGCCCCAGGGCCGCCCAAAAACGGCTCGGGACGAGAACCAGCCGTGGGCAAAGGGTCGGGATTCCTGGGGGCCCCGTAAGAAAAAACAAGGCATCGGATGCCCAGGTCAGGTACAGGTTCTACGTCTCCACCTGTTAGGGCTTGCGGACTTCGACTGCTGGAGGGGGAGCGAAGAGCAGCAGGAGGAGGAGGAGGAGGAGCGAGGAGCAGCAGGACGGCGAGTGTGGGATTCCTGGGAGGTCCACTAATACCCTTCCACCTCGTACCTCTTGGCTTAGAAAGCGCTCTGACCCGGCGTCATCGAACGACAAGGGCCCTGACCGTAGAAGCGACGACCCCAGAGAGATCGATTGATCGGTTCACAGCGGCTCATGGCTTGACTGTGCCCTGACTGTTCATGCTGCTGAGCATCGGCGCGCGCTCTCTCCCTGTCTCGGTTTCCTTCCCTCTCCCCGATTCGGCCTTCACCACGGGGCACGGTGAATCGAGCAGGGGCTCTCCTCTCGGCGTGTAAAGCCGACGGCGGCACCAGAGCACTCCAGACGGCCTTGGGAACATGCTCCTCCTTGGCAAGACGAGTCAGGGCCAGAGGAAATCCGTTCAAGAAGATCACCACCCCACAGGAGGAAGGCAAGGCGTGGTTTCCAAAGGGGCCGACCGCTTCTGAAAAGTCTGAGTGAAGCGATAGGAAGAACTAGCTCGGGGTGGGCAAACATTGACCCTGAATCGGCAGGACATCGCCGATAGATCGGCGGCAGAGCCTCGATTGCGAAACGACACGTTCCTGGGTGGGGTGGGTTATCAGACCTCCATTGGCGATAGATTCGCGCTGGGGGGGCGATGCGTTCCCCCCTGAGCCGAATTGTGCCACGAAGCCATGTACTCGGACACCCGCCGTGGAGTTGCCCTTGTGCCTTCCAGAAGGGCGGCGGTTTAGAACACCGTTGACTTTTAGAGGTGATGTATACGCAGCAGCACCCCCTGAGGTCTGGGAGCAATCCCATGGGAAGTGTCTCTGCACATATGAGAGAACGCGCCCGTGGAGCACTCCCAATGGGGGGGTCCCCCTTAACTACCCCCCCCTGGACCTCCCCTGCCCGAAGCCCCCCCCCTCTTTTTCCGCCCCTCGGGAGCTGCCCACCCCCACCCGCCCTCCCTCCCTCCAAAATCTTCCGCCCTGCGGAAGCTACCCCCCCCTCCTCCCCTCCTCTGGCGCTCCAGGAGTTATCTTCCCCCCCCTCCCTTTCCCAAAGGAGCGCCGAAAACCAAAGGGGCGCCGAACACCAAAAGAGCGCAGACAACCATGAGAGCGCCGAAAACCAATGAGCGCCGAAAACACAAAGGGCGCCGAAAAGCAAACAGCGAAAACGACAAGGCGCCGAAAACCACAGAGGCGCCGAAAACCAAAAAACTGAAACCAGCGGGGCACCGAAAACCAACGATGAGCCCGAAACCAACAGAGCGCCGAAAACCAGAGCGGCGCCGAGAACCAAAAGGGCGCCGAAAACCAGCGGGGCGCCAAAACCCAAAAGGGCGCCGAAAACCAAAGAAGCGTCGAACTTCAAAACGGAACCTGGAAGCCAAAAGGCCGCCCAAAACAGAAGAACCCGAAACGGGCACCGCAAACCAAAACGGCGCCTCAAACCAAGAATGTGCCGAAAACAACAGGGGCGCCGAAAACCAAAAAGGCACCGAAAAGCAGAAGGGCCCTCCAGCTGGAAATGCCAACAGGAGGAGGGGGGGTAGCTGCGGAAGACCCCCACTTGGGAAAGGGGAGCCGGGGCTTGCCCCGGGCCCCGAAAAGGAGGGGATGGGCGGTAGCTTCCAAGCCCCCGCCCCCTTAGCCAGGCACCCCCCAACAACAATATCCTTTTGGAAAGGAGAGCCCCCCGGGCTGACATCGGGTCCCGAAAAGGGGGAGGGGTGGTAGCTTCCAAGCCCCCCTCCCTTTTAGCAAGGGCCCCCCAGCTAAAAAATGCCCACAAAAGGGGGGGGAGGGGGGGGAGCTTCAGAAGCGCACCCCTTTTCCAAGGGTGGGGGGGTAGCTTGAAGCTGGGGCCCTGCTTTTAGTAAGGAGTGCTCCACGAGCGCGCTCTTTCGTACGTATCTTTGTGGCGGATAGCTATCACCCCTGCCGCTGCCCACTGAAAGCCCTTGGTCTTCCCAAGGGAAGCCGTCCTTATTCACGAGCGGCGAATGTATTCATAAGCACGCCCTCGCGGTCTGGATTGGGGGGCGCGATCCTCCAAAACGTTCCGCGCAGGACATCTGCAAAACGTGCTCCGCATCCATGGGGCCGCGGCCCAGGGGCTCAGCACGCAAGGCCGTGGACACGGATATGTGTCTCGCCCACTGGGGGGAGAAGGAAAAAAAAAACGATACCGATACCGCTACTCCCAGGACCTCTGGCGGGGTGCGGTCTGACCAGAACTTCGAGGCGAATCCAGCCGTGGCGGCGAGGGCCTCCAGAGAGGCCAAAAAGGCGAAAACGAAGCAAAAAAGACGATATCCGCAGAGATGCGGTGTCCTGCTTTTTCAATTACACGGTCCAAGGGGAAGTCCCGACCCCTTTCCCGAGGCCGGACTTTCTTCCTGAGTCGTTGTTTTGCGACCCTGGCGCCTGGCGAGGGCCCCAAGAAGGCAAGAATGGCGAAAAACCTCAGTATGGATGTTTGTCAAGACGTTGGATGTCTGGGCATAGGCACCTCTCCCCTATCTCACACTCCCTGCTCTCGCCCTTCCTACGTGGCGACATCCGAACGCAGCAGTGCGGGCGCGGTCGCAAGAAACCGTCGCAAGAAACCCAACCCTCAGAACCCGCGCGCGAGGTGCACCGGAGAGGAAACCTGGAGCGCCCTGCACGCAGCAAATCCTTCCACGGCCGCTGGGAGTCACCACGCAGCGCGCGGAGCGAAGAAGCGCAGGGTACCCTGACGAAGCGCACCTGGCTTTTGCTGCGCGTTCCTGGGGAGAGCAAGAGGTACCGATACCGCTACTCCCCAGACCTCTCCCGGAGTGCGTTCTGACCAGAATTTCGAGGCAAATCCGGCGGTGGTGACGAAGGCCGCCCAGGAGGCCCCAAAAAAGAAAAAACGAGCGAAGGGTAGAGGCGGATGAGGAGGAGGAGGAGGAGGAGGAGAGGAGGAGGAGGAGGAGGAGGACGGCGGGGGGGGGGAGGAGGAGGATGAGGAGGAGGAGGAGGAGGAGGAGGAGGGAGAGGAGGAGGGAGGAGGAGGAGGAGGAGGAGGAGGAGGAGGAGGAGGATGGAGGAGGAGGAGGAGGAGGAGGAGAGGAGGAGGAGGAGAAGGAAGGAGAAGGAGGAGGAGGAGGAGGAGGAGGAGGAGGAGGAGGAGGGGGGGAGGAGGAGGAGGAGGAGGAGGAGGAGGAGGAGGAGGAGGAGGGGGAGGGGGAGGAGGAGGAGGAGGAGGAGGAGGAGGAGGAGGAGGAGGAGGAGGAGGAGGAGGAGGAGGAGGAGGAGGAGGAGAGGAGGAGGAGGAGGAGGAGGAGGGAGGAGGAGGAGGAGGAGGAGGAGGAGGAGGAGATGGAGGAGGAGGGGGAGGAGGAGGAGGAGGAGGAGGAGGAGGAGGAGGAGGAGGAGGAGGAGGAGGAGGAGGAGAGGAGAGGAGGAGGAGGACGGGGGGGGGGGAGGAGGAGGATGAGGAGGAGGAGGAGGAGGAGGAGGAGGAGGGAGAGGAGGAGGAGGAGGAGGAGGAGGAGGAGAGAGGAGAGGAGGAGGAGGAGGAGGAGGAGGAGGAGGGGAGGAGAGGAGGAGGAGGGAGGAGGAGGAGGAGGAGGAGGAGGAGGAGAAGAAGGAGAAGGAGGAGGAGGAGGAGGAGGAGGAGGAGGAGGAGGAGGAGGAGGAGGAGGGGAGGAGGAGGAGGAGGAGGAGGAGGAGGAGGAGGACGAGGAGAGGAGGAGGAAGAGGAGGAGGAGGTGAGATGAGATGAGATGAGCAAGCGGCCTGAAGCCAGTCAAGTTGAGCTATCGCTCGGCGTCGGAGGCCTCCGACCCTTGGGAAGCCTCCTCAAAATCCCCCTCCAGGGGCTCTTCGGGCCCCTCTTCGGCCTCCTTCCGCGCGAGGCGGCACCCATCAGCACGGATGGTTGGAAGGTCCCCCTCCAGGAGGCCGAAGGCCCTCAGCACCTCAGCTCAGGACGTCATCCCCCCCAAGGCACTCTACCCCCGAAGCCCAACTCCCCCCACGTCCTGAGTCGAGGCGCTCGGGGCAGAGTCAGCAGGGCCAAAAATTGCGGCAAGCCGCACCCGCACCGCGTGCGGCACACCCTCGGGGGGTTCAAGGTCAGGTCCTTCAGACCTTCCTTGCCAGACGGCTACCTGCCAACCTTGATCTGCGCCAGCTGCCGCCTCAAACCCGCAGCCGCACACTCTCGGAGGCACGGCCTAAGAAGAGCTCGACTTGGCCGCTCCACGCTGAAAAAAAAGGCCCCGCAAGCACAGCGGAAAGTGATGGCCTTGCCATCCTCACGGCCCGACCGCGCATTAACAGTAGCATGCAGCATCGGGTGGCCGTTGAAAGAGTAACCCATGTCACGATAGGCCTCGAAACTCTCAGCTGGCGCCTGCACCGCGGGGACACTCGCAGGCGCAGCCGCGGGGGCAGGGGCAAGAACTGCGGCGGGCTGCGCCTCGGGCGGCGCCTGCGCCCGCCCTCTGCCTGCCGCATACAACTCCACTCTCCGTCCCCCACAAACGCATGCAACCGCCCACTCCACCGACCCACCTCACGAGCAGCCTCGACCAGGCCACGCCAGAGGTGGCACTCACTCTCCCCCACTCCGTGGAGGGTGGCACCACGCTTCGCGAATTCGTCGGCGGCGTCGTTGCCGCGCTTCTCCCAAGGAGTGGTGCGATCATTCTGTGCATCTACCATGCTGC